AGAGTAGGTGACTCTGACAAGCACACTGAAACGCAAAAACAAAGGACCATGAACACCTAGAGTACCCTAAGACAACCATAACACAAGAAGATCTCTGGAGCCCTGTGTCATCATCCCTGAATCTTGAGAGAAGACCCCTGCAGCAGAAGGATATGCAACCAGTCGCAAACAAGTCATCATCTTCGACCATGGTACAATTGCCGCCACGCTGCTTCCTCCTTTTTTGACACCAGCGCTGAGAGTGCATGGACGTCAATCCAACACACCTGCAACAGCCGTCGTCATCTTTAGCTTTGAGTACCGCGAAAAGTGTCCCTTCCAAAAGGAAGAGAACTCGAGTCATCCGATCGGTCCAGCACCGCGGCCGAGCCATCCGCCCGGGCAAAGAAGGATCTCCCACCAGCATCAGCGTAGAGGAAGAAGAACAGCAGCGGCAAATCGTACCAACAAGGAAGAAGAAAGGTCTTCGTCTCCCTACCTCCATCGCCCATCTGAGGATTCAAACGGACAGTGCCGATGGACCTCCAACCACCATAGCCCGCGACCTCGACGAGATCCGGGGATCCTCAACACCGTTGGCTCCTAAACGAAGACAAAAGCCTTGCCTGACCACGAACGGAGCCCGGAGAAACTTATTCCGACGCGACACCACCGCAACGGCCTCGGCAGCGTCTCCCTCAACCCTAACCCTAACACACATCAACCTAGTGAACAGACCCGAGGTTCCCCCTCCCTTCCGCCGTTGGAGCGGCCGACGGAGAGAGAGGGAACCGGTGGCGTCACCGGCGGCGCGCAAGGGACCCCTAGTCGCCTCCTTGATCTCCTCGAGCGATCCAATTTTTCCGGGCGTGCGGTTTTCGCTTTGACCCTTGTGCATTTCTGTTGAGAACTAGAGGGAGCAGTCGGCTGCTCCCTAGCGTTCCCTGGCAGCCCTCCCAAAATAGTAATTTTCTGTCCCTCCTATCCAGAATAGGAAAGTACCTGGCCCCCGCTCCCGATTCCTTGCACCCAACCATCGAGCCGCGGAACTCACCTGATCCTCCCTCCCCCATGTGTTTCCCTCCTCCACCCCCCCTGGGCGTCTCCTTTTCTCCCCACCAAATCGCCCAGCCCCATCTTCTTCTCTCTCCCAAGCCACAAAGGGACAACTCCCAGATCCAGAAAACTCTCCACAATCCTCCAATGGTGGCTGGTTTAGGATTTGTTCTCCAGGCAATTCATATTGACTAAGGGTAGAAGAAGCACAAAAAAAGGTCAGATTTAACTTTCACTTTCCCCCATGGTTGTGTGCTTTCATCCCTGTCCCCTGGCTTACTGAAGAACACAAGCCTCCCTTTCTCTTTCCCCATGATCTGTATAAGGCTGCAGTTTTGAAAAAAATGTGTAAGAGCATGTACTGGATGAAAAAACAGAAATACAAAGTTGCACAGGTGCTATTAATTACTGCAAATGTTAGATTTTCTGCCTAATTGATTTGATGGGTTTGTTGTTCTGCTTAATAAGTTGGTAGAAACACAAGTATGTTTACTGGTAAAGCAACTTGCTTGGCCTGTTTTGAGCAACTGTAGATCGTAAGCAAGGTGTGTGTGTAGATGTTTCGGCAAGCTTCAAGCCCTATTTGGACAAATCCAGAAGTGTTGTGCAAAGACTGGTTGTTTTAAGCAAGTTAAGTGTTATGGTTAGGCAACTTACATGTTAAGGTTGAGCAAAAAGGGTGGGGAGTCAATGTAAAAAAAGGCTGGTTGAAGGAAAATAATGGTAGGCAAGTTTGAGGGTTTGTTTGGGCAAAATTAGGACAAATGTGAAGCAAGAAATACCGGTATGGTTATTATGAAGCAAAACTCCAGAAGTTTTTAGCCAGATAAGTGCTATGTTTTAGGCAACTTACATGTTATGTTTAAGCAAAGGACGAAAATGATGTGTAAAAAAACTGGTTGCAAGAAAACAATGGTAGGCAAAGTTTTAGGGCTTGTTTCGTGCAAATTCAGTAGTATTGTGAATCAAACATGAAACTGGCATGGGTATTCTTCTGAAGCAAAATTTCAGGTGTTTTCGGCAACTTTGGTGATATGTTTAGGCAACTTACATGTCATGATTAAGCAAGAAAGAAATGAATGTAAAAAAAAGCCGGTTGAAGAAAAATAATGTTAGGCAAGAAAGGATTACTACTATGCAACAATTGTTTTCATATAAAGATGGATTTATGGTACCTGTGTCAGAAATTGACTGAAAGTGACTTGAGCTTGGCCTTGTTGAACATGTACAAGAAGTTTATTCAGCTTGAAAAGCCTTGCAGACGATGCCTTGTTTCTCTTATCCTAGAAGAAAAATACAACAACAGATGAAACATGTGTATTTCCTGGACAGTTAGGCAATTTGACAGCAGAACTTGGGCAAGTGTTGATCAAAAGTGAAGCGACTGTGTATTACCTCGTTAGATCTGGTCTTTTGACATTTTGCTTTTGGTGGTTGTTCCACAGCAGTGTCTTTCTGAACATTTCCATCACCATCTGTGGAAACACTCGGATTGTTGTTGATGTCTAGCGGACATTTGCCACGGGCAGCAATCTTCTTTCTTCCCCGATGCTGGTACCCAATAAAGGGTGTGCTTCTCTAGCCCTGCAAAAAGAACACGCAACAAGTTAAAAGAACACACAACAAGTTTATTGAATCTTTTTTCTGACACACCTCTTGATGATATTCAATCGCATGCGAGGGATCGGCATCACGATTAACTGCATGATGATCTTCTTGAATGCCCTTTTTGCTTGATCCATCCATTAGTTCCTACTACACAAAACGAAAAAGAGTGCATTCAGATGACTTTCTGGATATCGTCTCTCGGATACTGGCAACTCACATACCAATTCCAAGCAAGTAAAACCAAAAAACCAGGCAAATAGCCTTCCAATGCGCACCAAAAAATAACAAAAACAGCACTCATCCGAGGCCTCCAATACTGAACTTGCTTACGCATGATGCTTTCGAGATTTTTTTACTAAGTTGCCACGCATTCACATCACATGATACATACCTTGGAAAACTCATGATCATCCTGTCTTAGCAAAAAAAAGGGGCGGTGGAAACTACTAAGTTTACGCACATTTACCTCGTTTTTGCCTGTCCTCCGCCGTTTTGGCTTCGATTCCTCCTCTTGCATGATATCCTTGCCTTCTAAATGCATCTGGTGCACTGGTATTACTATCTATGTATGATGGGCGCTTCCCGCGATAGATGATCTCTTTAGTGCGCATACACTTATAGACAATTACTGGCATGTTTTGTTGATGTGGTGGGCGTACCTACGCTGAAAAAAATGATGCTTGTTTGTTTAGTAAAAAAATAGTCGCATAACTCAAACATGATAACACCACCGCCCCGTCCCACCCCCATATTCATCTTGAAAAAACACTAGTAAAAAAGGAACAACACCGCCCCTGTGCCACCCCTGCCACCTGTTTTATTTCAGCCCGAGAAAAAGCGGTTACCTCTATTTCATCTACACCCTGTTGGGTTGCTTGTGCGACCTGACCGTCACTTTTTTTTGCTTGTCTCAGACATTGTTGATGCTGCAAAAACACAAAAGAATATCAGGGAAATGAAAAAAATATAAAAATTATTAGCCACATATACAATTTCTTCTGCTTGATGAAAACTTGTCTGCTTATAGCACTATATTTGCCTGTTTCATGGCTCAAAAACTTGCTAGAGCTTGCTGATGTGCCATCCTACCTCAATCCCAAAATCTAAAAATGACTTAAGCAACAAATAAAAAAGTGACAAAACAGACCAGACACCCACACCCCACCCCCTGGTACTCAACACTTTAGCAAACACAATATGAATTACCATGAATTATGGATCGCAAAGTCAAGGCAACTCATATATTGACTTATGGCAAATTTCTACACCAAAAAAATAACCTCACACAACATAAATTAACCTGCCAAAAATCCACATCATATTGGCAACTCAAATTAACATGGGCACTCTTGTCCGAAGACTCCCCAGCCTCTCTAGATTCGGCAACTCAATTAACGTTAGTTAGGCAACCCCTAACAAACTTGAAGCAACTCATCAATCCCACCAACAACAAAAAATCTACACAATCTCGTAGCAACTCAAATTAACATGAGTCAGGAAACTCCTACACAAATCTCAGGCAAAATCCCAAAATCTCCAAGCAACTAAATTAACATGAAAAATAGACATGAGTCAGGCAACTCCTACACAAATCTCAGGCAAATCACATACTCAATTCGACTGAATTAACATGAGATGCACACAACGGATCCGCCCACTGGGCTCGGAAAAATGTTTGGGAAGGGACAACAATGAACTAGGGCCTCCCCTCTCTGCGCGCATGATCACCTCTCCCCCTCCCTGTGCCCATGAATCCTAAACGCATCAACGAACTAGGGCCACCACTATCCCCGAGCAGAAATGGAACCGTGAAAAAAGGGCGGGGAACAACGTGATTCTTACCTCAGAAATTCCGTGGCAAGTCCCCTCGCCGGAAATGCAGCGTCGCCGGCGACCTTCACCCCGCACCCCTTGGCGGATAGGAGACAGAGCACCGCGGCGACCTTCACCCACTCCACCTCTCTTCTGCAGTCCCCGCGCGCACCACCGCAGCCTCTCGCGCCTCCGCCCCGCGCGCGCGCTCAACCACCACCCGCGACCTGTGCGGCAGCCGGCGGGCGCTCCAATTTCTGCGGCGGCGATGCAACCCACGACGCCCGAGCAAGATGTGCGGGGGAGAAGGGATTGGGGGAACAGCACCGAGGAGTGGGTGTAGTGGTGGGCCCTCCCCAAGTTGATGGTTGTCGTAAGAAGGACGCCGAGCTGACAAATCTTCTCCGACAAAAAAAACCCTGGGTCACAATCCCGCGTGAGTGTTGCGATCGAACGGTTCTCAGGGTGCGTGCTCGCGCGAGCAAACGAGCATCCGACCACTTTTTAGGATTTGGGAATGGTAAAAGGCTAGCCACGAATCAACAATGCCGCGAGAAGTTCGTCACGGCACCAAGCAAAGAAACACCGACGTGTGCACGGACCGGTCAGGTCAGGGCAGTACTCCTGGTACCATTATCGGGCGCTCTAACGTGTACCGCAGCGCAAGCGCACACGTGTCGCCCATCCAGAGACGCACGCTTTCCTCTCGCCATGCCACGTGCATGCGAGCGCCTCGTGTCCACGACCTAATCCGCGAGCGCCACCGCCCCGATTCGATTCGCCGACGGCCGGCCGGTCGAGCCGAGTCACGAAACCAAAACCAACACGAAGAGGCGCGGGGAGAGACGACGGTGTCCATGATGATGGGATGGGGGCGAGAGATCCAAGAAAAGCCGTCGACTGCAAGCACGGGCTCTCCCGACGCGTCCACGGCATTGACCCCGCCCCCTTTCCCTTTCGCGCGCCGCCACGTGCCCCCGCACGGCACCGCCCATCGACTTCCTCTCCCCGCCACCGCACGCGGCCCGCCACCCTTTTAGCCGCACGAGCTCCTTGAGTTTCTGCCTCCGATTTCTCCTCTTCGTTCCTTATTTACGAGCGCCAGGGCCTCCTGGGACCATTGGTTCTTCTTCTTCCCTCGTCGCTGCCTGCCATCGCCGGCCGTGTTGCGCTTGCGCGTTGAAGAGGAATCCGGCCGGCCGTCGTCCTCCTCGATTCTATGGGGCACCGCGGGGACACCAAGCCTGTCAGTGGCGGCGGGTTCAGGTACGTCGTGCGCTCCTGCGATTCTTTTCTTGGTGAACCGTGGATGTGGTTGACGTGGTGGACGCCGCCGCCAATCGCCGTGGCCGTCTCTGCGCGCCGTTCAGTTTTCAACTTCTGATGATCATGCATGCTGGAAATGGCGAAGAAGTCTTAGCATGTCTAGAAATTTTGTTCTTGCTGATGTTATGGCATGTTATAACATTCTAGTGACGATGGTGATTAATTGTGAAATGTATCTAAAGGATTTTAGCTCGGATCATTGTTCTGTGTGATTGGTGTTAATTTGTTTTCCATCGTGGCAGTGAGAATGGCAAGTTTAGCTATGGTTATGCGAGCAGTCTAGGGAAAAGATCTTCCATGGAGGACTTCCACGAGACGAGAATCGATGGCGTCGATGGAGAGACCGTCGGATTGTTCGGTGTTTTCGACGGTAAGATAATATGCGGCCCGGTTCAGAAGAAACTAATCGTATTGTGCAAATAAGCATTTTGGGTTCAGAGTTATCAGCAAACTGCCTTATGCAGCATCGATGGCTAATAACTGATCTGTCACCGCAGGCCATGGTGGAGCTCGAGCCGCGGAGTTCGTCAAGCAGAACCTTTTCAGCAACTTAATCAAGCACCCAAAGTTCTTCACCGATACCAAGTCCGCTATTGGTACTGCTATATATTTCCCTGAATTAGACATTAGCATTCTCTTGATCAGAACACACTGCAGAACATATAATTAGTTAATTGGGCACTGATGTTTCAGTCACTGAAATATTCGTTCCTCTGCAGCTGAAACTTTCACCCATACGGATTCAGAGCTCCTGAAGGCCGATACCACCCACAACCGAGATGCAGGGTCGACGGCCTCCACGGCCATTCTCGTTGGCGATCGCCTGGTGGTGGCAAACGTTGGGGACTCTAGGGCGGTCATTTGTAGAGGCGGTGATGGTAAGCTCCCAGCGACATCATTTTGGGATCACATTTCCCAGCTCCCTCCGGTTCCAGTTGTGCATATCTCTGTTGTTTGCCTGAATCATGACCCTCGTTCTTTTCAATTGTTCAGCTATAGCCGTGTCAAGGGACCATAAGCCTGACCAGACAGATGAAAGGCAGAGGATAGAGGACGCCGGAGGTTTCGTGATGTGGGCAGGTCAGTGTCTTAGACTACTGGTTGCCTGTTCGGCGCTGAATCTTGGGCTCATTGTTCAGTGGCAATGTAATCTGCAGGTACATGGCGTGTGGGCGGCGTGCTTGCTGTTTCTCGGGCATTTGGTGACAAACTGTTGAAGCAGTACGTGGTTGCCGATCCAGAGATCAAGGTTGTATCTATTTTCAGAGTTCTCCAACCATGTCACCAAGACAGAAACATTGTTCCCTGACATGAGATTTTGAAACACAACAGGAGGAGGTGGTCGACAGCTCCCTGGAGTTCCTCATCCTGGCGAGCGACGGGCTGTGGGACGTCGTGACCAACGAGGTAAACGCATCACTAATCCCTTTACAGGCTGAACTGACATCACAGCTAGCAAGAAGCAGAGTTCTGAGATGACTTGCCCTGTTTACCAGGAAGCCGTGGCCATGGTGAAGCCGATCGTGGACTCACAGGAGGCGGCCAAGAAGCTCCTCGTGGAGGCGACGCGGAGGGGAAGCGCCGACAACATCACCTGCGTCGTCGTCCGTTTCCTGGACCAGCAGCCCCCGGCGGCGGCCACCAACAGATCCCCAGCCCCTGTCGCACCGGGCAAGTGAACATTCCTCCTCGAAGCGCGTAGGTGTTCGCAGGGCAATGTGTTGTGCAAGCAGTGTGTCTGATGATGTAGCCCTTCGCATGCGTGTTTATTTGCTTCACTCCAGTCTACCGATGCCTGTACTCATCATGTATGTTCTCAGCTGTTCTCATTTCAAATTTCAAGTTCTTTAAATGTGCGGCTCCGACCAGGCGGTCTGTTTGCACAGCACAATGCTAATTCTGACGAGAAAACCGTCGATAGAAATGAAAATGTGGACAAGATGCTAAAGCCAAAAAAAATCATATAAACATGTTAACCCCAAAAAAGATGATATGAGAAGAAAAAATATCACAGTGGGGATGAAAGAACTGCTCAGGTTTCTGTTAGAAGGTTCACAGGACACTTGACCAGACCGCTTGCTCTGTATTCTACCTTGCTCTGCTCATGCTTGGAAAAGGGTACAATGCCATTCAGGTATCTGGGGATTCCTCTCTGCCTTGCCCAAAGTTTGATTAAACGGGACTGCTCATTTTCATGGAACTACTGGAAGACTGCAATTTGTTATGTTGTACTCCCTCCATCCCAAAATAAGTGTCTCGAACAAGATGGAGAAAAGGAATCAAAGAGTTTGACAAATATAGAAGGCACTGTCTTTTGGGTTGAGAAGGGCATGAGCAAATGCACTAAATCCCTTTGCGGCTGGGACCTCGTTTGTAGACCCAAAGATGAAGGAGGTTTGGGGATCTTGAATTTGAAAATCCATAATAACTCCTTACTTCTGATTTTCTGAAGAACATTCACAAATTCATTAATAAACAGGATATCCCCTGGGTTAATTTAGTTTGGGAGGTCTACTATCAGAATGGCCCTCCCTCTGCTCAAAACAACAACTGTTCCTTTTGATGGAGGTACTGCTTGAAATTATTAAACACCTACAAAGATATTGTCACTCACCCCTTTCATTCTGGGGTGATGGAGGGATAGTACCGTTCGAGCTTTTTTTTCATGCTTCTTCCGGCGGTCTGGAGAAAGCAGCAACAGATAGGACTTTACTAATCCTCCCTTCCTTTCAGGAAGAATGTGAAATTCTTTTTCCTTAAATGTGGTAGAAATTTCTTCTGGTTTGATAAGTGGACGGATTATTCAGTTCTCCAAGAAGAATGGCCTCATCTGCACTCGTTTGCACTCAACAATCTAATATCTGCTAGACATATATATCCTAATTACCAAAGGTCTGAAAGATTGATCTGTCTGAAGAGGCCTATGAACAGTAACAGCAGTTACAAGAAAAGAGGGTGAATTGGCATGACAGTAGTCGGAAGGATTATTGGGCATCAATTGAACATTTTTCTCCACCGCTGAATACCAAATGGTTATGGTCTTTATGCTGTCAGCCTTTTCCAAAGAAATGGTCCTCATGCTGTCAGCCTAAACATAAAAGTGTTCTTCTGGCTGCTTTGAATAACAGACTAAATACTAGGGAATTCCTTCAAAGAAAGAATTTCTTCATTGAGCACATGTATCATATGTGTTAGGTACTTAGGTGTCCTATGATTATGCTACCATTTGTTGGAAATACATCTGCCCCTGATCGAATCCTCCTGTTGGAGTTGGTCAGTTTCACAATGTCATTGTTCATTTCAGAGACCTTTTGAATGCACCTTTCTTACAAAGAAAGAGACGCCATCAATTTGAAGCCTTGGTGGCTTTCATTAGGGTCTCTGGGTCCTTCTCTCCTAGGCTGTACATTATCCTTTCTTTCGCTCTCTTATGTACTACTCCATGTTCTTTTCCTCTTTAAATTGTACATTCATTTGAAAATCAATATATCATGTTCTCGTCTGTTTCAATTGGCATGTTTTAATCTTCAAATTCTATTTGTGTTGGTATACTGAATTAAACGGGAAGATTTATTTGCACAATGCTAAATCCACAAAAAAACGTCAACAGGTATTCTAGTAACACAAAAAAAACTGCAATGGGGATGTGGAGTTGCTCGGGTAACCGCTCAGGTGGAAATGGTATTTCCCAGACTCATCAAGCAGGGATCTGCTTTCAACTCTGATAGATCTCATCACCGCAAAAAAAATCCACCACCGATTAACACTGATACAGAACTGAACTGAAAATACAGAACAGTAACATAATATGGATGAATCTGAAGGGCATGATGTATCGGCTCAGACTACTTTTAAGGTCTTCAAGGCGGATGAAAACCCGTCGTTAAGACGAGCGAACTGTTGACGCTCAAAAGTGGCACGATCATAAAGCAGCATGCCGGGGCGAAAACCTTGCCGGGGTAAAATCTTGCCGGTGTGAAAGCTTGCCGGTGTGAAGGCTTGCCGGCGTGGAAAGCTTGCCGGCACAGAAAGATCGCCGGTGTGGAAGCTTGCCGGTGTGAAATCTTGCCGGGAGAGAAACCTTGTCAGGGAGGAACCCTTGCCGGAGTACAAACCTTGCCGGAGTGAAACCTTGCCGGTGTGAAAGCTTGCCGGGTAGAAACATTGCCAGTATGGAAAGCTTACTCGGATGGAAAACTTGCCGGGTTGGAGGCTGTGATAGTCAATCGGACGAGAAGTTGAAGATGGGCTCAAAAGGTTATTCAGATAATCTCGGATGGAAAAATGTTCTACACGGAAGTTGTGCGTCTCGTCGAAACGGTTGATTTTGGTACAAAAATCGTCCCAATCCGAGTTCGTATGCAAAAGTTATAGCTATCGGAGTGCAGCCCTCTCACTAGGCGAGATGTGGCGCGTCCCACCAGACATAGGTCTGATGGGTAGCGCGAGCGAACAGGTGTTCTGCGTGACCGTTTTGGCCCAGAAGAAGGCCTCAAATCGAAAAACGTTCAACATAAAAGTTGTTCGTCTCGTCGAAACGGTCAAGATTGCTTTTGGGCTCGTTTCCATCCGAGATCGTTTACCACCACAAAAAGGACCAGCAAGGTGCAGCCAGTTTAAACCGAACAGTTTTGGAAAGTTCGAACAAAATCAGTCCGAATTGACTAGGGTTTTGAACGTGAATTGATGTAATTTTCTTATAAGGAAAGCCTAGATAAATCCTTTGCTTGTACGAGAAGTCCAGCCGCCTCTTATATATATTGGGGGTGACGGCCGATTGAAACAACACCAATCGAACCAATCAATCTATTATACTTTTGTGTTCATCTATCTTTATCCCCTAACCTTGTATCTTTCTTTCTCGTTATTCGTTCGTTCTTCGCATTGGAGGGCAGCGATCCACGAGGCTCTAGGGGCGAGTGAATCGACTTAGGGCAGCCCATAGCCGCCGCACTCCCTGACGGGGTCCCTCCCGGGCGTATGGGGTTTCGGGTCTTCAAAAGCGCCCGCTGGCTGTCTTGCGTATCGCGTTGTCGGTCGGGTCTCCTTCAACGTGAGCTGCGGTGCATCACCCCCGGCGTCGAGGGTACACGTGACGTGTTCGTGTGTCAACACACTTTTTGGCGACTCCGCTGGGGAAGAAGCTTTGAACGGTCTCCAGTCCATTATTGCTACGAAGAGATCGTCATCAAGTTGCTGCAATCTACAAAGGTAATATGAATTCCCAATTCCACTTTGTAGATGCAAATAATCCATATGTTGTCGCTGGATCACCTAATGAGCATAATGTATCGGCTAGCCCTAGTTTTATCAATCATGCATCTAATTATGCGCAAGGCCCGATGCAAAGCAATCTTCATGCTTCAAATTCTTATGATTTTAGCAACATACAACATATGTATCCAAACTCTCATGCATCGGCAACCCCACAAATACATATGCCGACGAACAACATGATGGGTTTGGTTAATCAATTTGAAACACCTCATGTTAAAATTTCCAATAGCATACCAGAAAGTGTTTCACCTTTTTATTCATCGGCAACTAATTTGCAATATGTGAATCCAACCTTGCCGATGAATGGGAGAATTGGCCATGCTACTACTAGCTATCCGGCCAGTTACTCTCAACCATCATATGCTACACCTCATGTTAGTAATTTTTCAGCACCGTATGCAACTGTAGATGTTCGTAATTCGGCCCCGCATCTTAATGGTCATAGCCGAATAAATGAAATTTTTACAGGAACACATGTGCGGTCATCAAATACTGTAGCATATAATGCATACTCTAGGCAATTCAAGAATTTCGGCAACACTCACAAATCATTGCCGAAAGAATCTGAAAGTATTGCGGAGCAATCCCTTCCAGAAGCGGTTGTGGCTGCATTAAAAAAGAGCTTGGCACAAAACAAGAGAATTAGTGCTCTTTGCCTTGAACAATATGAAAAGGGGTTGTTTCCTGATTATGCTGTAATAAAGGCTAGAGTTTTGCAAGAAGATGAAACTTCATCAACCGATAGAATTGGCGAGAGAGCATATCGTTATACAGAAGTGCATACACCTCCACCTAGTACCGTAGCATATTATACACCCCCTACACAGTTGCAAAATTTCGGCAACACTAACAGTTCATTGCCGAAATATCCTAAAAGCATTAGGGGGCAAACTACACTAGAGCGGGCTGAAATTGAGAGGGGAGTTAAAGCTTTGCGCGATAGGGTGCAAGTACTTCACCAAGAGAGAATTGATAGGGAATTAGCTCAAAGAAAAGAAGCCTTGCCAATTGATATAACCGGTGAAAAGAATGATGATTCGAAAACTAAAAGTGCTTCGGTTGAAAAGGCCGAATCAAGTTATATAGATCCCGAATCCATCAATTCCAAAGAGGCAAACATTATTGAGAAAGGGCATGGAAAGCATAGCAAAGCGACCATATTTGATTTTTTTAAAGTTAATGGAACCTACTTCCTGCCCTATGAGTTTTGTGCCAGAGAAATCGATGAACTTCAAGGACAAGAACAAGTAGCCGAACAAAGTTCGGCCGACAAAAAATTTCAGTGTAATGATGCACGGAATCAAGAAAAAGATGATGAAGAGGCGTTGGGGAGCCATCCAAAGGCGGAGCAAGATATTGTTCAAGTCACACCACCATCATGCTCTCCCAACATATTTGAAAA